TGATATGTTTTTGTTTAGGAACTGGGCAGAAGAGATTGAGATGTTTGTGCATTTGGCCCTGTGGGATGACCTCAAAAGAATCATTACTCGGTTTCAAGATGCTGAGTGTCAGGATTGGATGTGATTTTTTTAGGTTGCTAGCACTGAACATTTATTTGTGGTTCTGGCATTTAACCCCCACCCCCATATTAGTAATTTTGTTCCTGCTTTTCCTGCATTTCTGCTGTTTGCTTATTTCCCTGTTTGCTTATTACAGGGAAGCTCAGTAGCTTCTTGCAGTGTACTGCCTTGATTAGTTAAAGATTTGGTTGTTTTAAAGGTAACTCTTTTTTACAATGTTCTTTTTCTTCAATAATGCATCCACGTAATACAGATGTAAGTATTGATTGGTTGAGTTTTTAAGGCTGAGAGAACAGAATTAACTTCGTTCTCTAATTGAACTGTTGACCTCATACAGTAGCTCATCAGTAGGCAAAGCCATTTCTCCTGTGCTTTCCAACAGAAATAAGTCAGGATTTCTATTTGCACTCATAGTCTGAGCACCAACTTTACCACTGCCATAAACAGGGCTTAGTATCCTCAGTGGAGCAATGTTTGCCAGATGTTAATCCAGTGGAGAACATCCTCTGTACTATGTTCTCAGCAGCACACATCTTGTGGATTGCTGCCTTTTTTCCTTGTCCCTCACTCTAAATAAGAGATGATTTTAAATCTGTGCAGAAGATTGAGTCTTTGCTCTGGGCACAGTGGGCGATCGTGCCATTTGTAGGACAAGTCTTTCCCAGGCTTGAACAGCTTGGGAGCTGCCTACTGGAAAGACAAACCTTCCTTACAGGATGTTGCTACATTTGGATAAGCACAGAGGGCTGAACTCGTAAGACCATAAGGTTGATGAAAACTGCTTTTTGTCCATACGTGTTTAAACGCAAATTTGTTTGAATAGAAGTTGAGTTTTGTTTTAGATTACATTTTTACCAAGGTCATCAGGTTTTACTGAGTGGTTTGTGGAAGGTCAGCAGAGGGAGGTATTGCTGGTTTTCTATTTGTGAAGTGATTAGAGACAAAGCATATGTTGCTGTATTAAATAAACAAAATAATTAAAAGAAATAAAATTAAAACTTCACCTCTACTGATCATTTTGCCAGCAGGTCTTTTACATTGCCTCTGCAAAAATTTTTTGTCAACAGTACTTTCTGCATTGTGCTTCTTTCAATGTCTGAAGGGCTATCCTACATGAAGAGGAAAAGCAGAGTTGTTTCTTTCCGTGCAGGAAATATTCAATATTCAGGAATTTTCAAGAGCTGTAATATTTTTCTGTAAATGAGGGGGCAGTTGTTTCCTGTAATAAAGTATCTTTTTTTTTTTCCAGTCAGCTTAATAGTAAGTGACAAGAGAGAAGCACCTGAAGAGATCAGTCCATTGGTCTGCGGGTTTCTAAGATGAAGTTGTCCCTAAGATGTAATTTGGTTTTGGAGACGTTTCTTTTCAGTGACTACAGACAGAACTCAGATTGCTGATTAACAGTAAGCGCCTTCATTTATAAGGTTAGTATCAGTTGGATAAACCCAACTATATGAAAGTTCTCCCTTCTGAGAAAGTGAAAATAAACAAAAGCATTTCATTCAACTTTCTATGAAAACAGTGAGCTCTGAGCAAAATCCAAGTGTAAGCATTGTTTGTAAAGGTATTTGTTCTGGAACTATTTTACAATTCCTCATTTTGCAGCTTAATATAATCTTTCCTTGGAGCAAAATGTGAGAGAGGGCTTGGGAAATCTGAGTCATCATGAGGACAGGAAATGATCACGTAGGTCTTTTTAAAATGAAACACTGAAGTGACACATGGGGAGGGACACAATTCTATGTTTTGGATATTATATATGCTAGTGATGGAAAATGACTTCTACTTCAAATGCAAAACTCCCCTGTTTTTCTTTCACAGTGCCTTTAACAGAAGCATTTCAGCCTGCCTTATGGCTGAGACACTTGTGACTGGAATCAAAGTGCAATGGTGTGCAGCTTGTTTTAAGGCATAAAAAGCAGGCATGTGTGACTGTCTTGTAAATTGAAGAGTATGCAGGGAAAGAGTGAGGTGAGGCAGCGTTCACCTGGGTGAAAATGAAAAATTCTGTGTGTTGTAGGTCTGAATGCTTTGTTTGCGTCTCCTTCTTGGTCTGTGTCCTCAGAAAAGCACGATGGCTTTAGAAAGTGCTATACATCACCTTGCCAGCCTCTCTTAATGAAGGAACTTGTCTGTGAGCTCATATGGGTCAGTTTTGATGCTGTAAGTCACCAAGCAGGGCACTCTGAGTGGTTCAGACATCGTGCTGAAGGCTAAATGAGAGAGAATCCCCAGAGGAGCAGTTCATGTGTAGGAACCTTTAGGATTATGGAGAAAACCATCACTGCTCTGTGATCTGCCATAAATGCGACAATCCAGGCTAGCAGTTCTTCCCAGCTTTCATCCTTTTGTGAGACTCTTCCTTGCTCAGCAAAGACACTGTGCCCATGGCACATGAAAATATAAGTGTCATCAGAATGCTCTGTGGTCATTGTTTATGTGGCAAACCCATCAGAATCCGTGTCCACGATAAATGTGAACCACACACAGTTAAAGAAACAAAAGAAGAAGAAATGCCAGCACCTGGGCAGCCTGATGCTCGGCCTTTGTGGATGGAGCTGAGGGATGTGGGTCATCCTGTTTCACATAATTGCATAAACAAACTTCATAAGTTCCTCCTCAAACATGTCCTCTGAAGGCAGTGGGTGAGTGACGCATTGAATGGTAGTAAGCATACCTCTTTCCACCTATTTCTCCTTTTTTCTTTTTGGGTAATGAGTAGTGGTTTTGTCAGCTGCCTGCCTTGTGTTCATCACTGTCAGGGCTGACAGTGTAACAGATAACTGAATGGATTCAAGGCCACCCAGGGAATGGCGCCTGACAGGAGCTCATTCATCACTTCCATTTTGGAGTTCTCTAAGGAAGAGCTGGAATCAAAGAAGTAATCAAGGCTCACAGAGCTACATGAGTGTTTGGGAGGAGTGCTCTGCATTGCAAACAAACTGAGATGTCAAATCTGTTTTGTAAATGAAGTGCTTTTCTGGAGAAAGTGTGAGTATAACTGTCACTGTAAGTGTATTCTCTGTAATATACTTCTACTGTGACTGCCTAGGGCCACAGCCCAGCTTCCACATAAAAAATTGCAGTTGAGAGCAGAGGATAAAAAAGTGCATTTTAAAATGTGGTTCAACCATAATAGTTTATTTAATCAGCCTCTCTATCTTCAGTTCTGGTCTGGGCATTCGGGTTTCATTCATCCCACATAATTGTCCCAGAAACTGTGACGCTGGTGAGGTCCAGGCACATGCTACACTTTGCTATGGGCTGTGTGGACTTCATGACAAATAAGAGAGTCTGCCCTTAAGACAAAAGTATCCTGTTAATATCACAGAATCACAGGTAGGGTTGGAAGGGACTTCTGGAGATCACGTAGTCCAACCTCCCTTCCAAGACAGGGTCACCTAAAGCAGGTTAAACAGGAACATGTCCAGGTGTTTTTTGAATGTCTCCAGAGAGGGAGACTCCACAGCCTCCCAGGGCAGACTAGTTCCAGTGCTCTGCCATTGTCAATGTAAAGAAGTTCTTTGTGTTGAGGAGGAAACTGTGTTTTAGTTTGTGGCCATTACCCCTTTTCCTGTCTCTGGGCACCACTGAAAGGAGTCTAGGCTCTTGACACCTGCCTTTGAGATATTGTATTCATATATACTGATGAGATTCCCCTCTTGGTCTTCTCTTCTGTAGACTAAACAGGTCTAGCTCCTTCAGTCTCTCCTCATACGAGAGATACTTCAGTCTCCTAATCATCTTTGTGACCCTCTGTTGGCCACTCTCCAGTAGCTCCTTTTCTTTCTTGAACTGTGAAGACCAGAACTGAACACAATACTCCAGAGATGGTCTCACCAGGGCCGAGTAGAGGTTTCCTCATTAGGTTTCTTTCTGCCCAATTCTCCAGCCTACCAAGGTCCCACTGAACGGCAGCAAAGCCTGTTGTGCTCTGCCATTCAACCAGTTCTTCGTCCATCTCACAGTCCACCCCTCTAACCCACATTTCCTGAGCTTACTTATGAGGGTCACAGTGTCAAAAGCCTTGGTGATTTTAGTTTAGACAACATGCACTACTCTCCCTTCATCAGCCCATCCTGCCATGTCATCATAGAAGGCTATCAGACTGGCCATGCACTTCTCCTTGGTGAATCCATGCTGACTACTCCTGATGACCTTCTTTTCTTTTACATGGTTGGTGATGAACTCTAAAATGATCTGTTCCATCACCTTTCTAGAGATGGAGGTGAGGCTGACTGACTGGTATTTTCCCATGTCCTCCTTCTTGCCCTTTTTGAAGATGGGAGCAACACTGGCTTTTCTCCAGTGATCGGGCAGCTCTCCCATTGTCTGTGATTTTTCAAAGATGATGGAGAGTGACTTAGGAACAACATTTGCCAGCACCCTCAGCACCTGTGGGAGCATCCCATCAGGGCCCATGGATATATGGGTGTTAAGTCTATGTAGCTAATCTCTAATTCAACCCTCTATGACCAAGGGGAAGTCATCCTTTCTCCAGCTTTCTTTTCTTACTTCAGGGTCTGGGATTCCTTAGGGCTTTGCTCGGTATGAACTGGAGGGAGCACCAAGCTCTCTATTGACAATGAGCAAGGGGTGCTTTGGATGCTGAGGATAAAGGTTGATGGTCAGGTTAAAGAAAGGAAAAGTGCAGCAAAGAGTACCCAAGAGTACTTGAGTGCATGCAGTTCCACCTTGCCAGCTAAGAAACAACCTGAGGGGTCCTGCAACCTCAGCTAGGTTCTCACGCAAAAGGGTTAACGGTACAGCAGCACAAAGACCATTGGTGTCATGAGGTCTGAACAGGCAAAATTAATATGGTGTTAATGATGTTATGCATATCACAGCTATCTGCAAGTTTTCCTTCGTGTTTCTTTTAGGAGTGGCACCTCTAAGGGAATGGTGGAAGGACACTTCGGTTTCAGGGCACGCTGCTGACCAGACATCCTCCAGCACCCTACCTCTTTCTTAGAGGTAAAATCACCCAGCTTTACTAACTCTGACATCACAAAAACTTCATTAGTCATCTGGTGAGAAGGTAAGAAGATTTAACACGTAGAATAGGAATTGTGGTCAACTGAAGAAGCACTTGCAAAATTCAGGCTCGTTTGGGCTCCTCTCTAAAAGTAGAGAGTATTTTGTAATTTAGGACCATCTTTTGGTTACAAATGTATTTATTACAGGCAGGATAACTTATTCAGGAAGTTTCTATGGCACAGTGGAAGTCTGTCAAAGAGCATCACTGCAAACTCATGGCTTAACGTGAGGAAAAATGAATGACAAAGAAATATTGTGACAAATGAGGGTCTAAGAGGAAAAAAATGGGTATGAAAAAATGAGGAAGGAGGAAGAATGTTGGAGAGCAATATTTGATCTTGCAGTGAATAACTCGGGAGCTTCTGTGATCACTTTGTTAAAAGGAAGAGTTCTGTGTGGACCAGCTGCTATAGAGTGATGGAGCTGTAGACAAGGACAGTGAAGCCATTAAGGCAAACCATACAATCACAGTGAACTGCTATATCCTATTCAATTAACTGATCAGAGGCACAGGAAGAAAATACTAATTTGCAGTTATGATGCAATAAAAATCTTGTAATGTGTAGGTGCAACATTTTATCTGCAATATGTACCCCAGGTTTCATTTGCCATGTCTTTTTGATTGAATTACTTTGCCACAGAACTATTAAGAAATATGTATATTTGATTTTATTCAACAGAATCACAGAATGGTTTAGGTTAGAAGGGAACTTAAACACCATGTAGTTCCAACCCCTCCTGCTGTGGGCAGGGACATCTTTCACTGGACAAGGTTGCTCAGAGCTCCATCCAACCTGGCCTGGAACACTTCCAGGGATGGAACACTCTCAGTTTCTCTGGGCAATCTGTTCCAGTGCCTTACAACCCTCACAATGAAGAATTTCTTCCTAATATCCTATCTAAACCCATTCTCTCTCATGCTTGGCCCTTGAGATGTACACAAAATATGTCAAGGCATGCAAATCAAGTCACAATGAAGACAGTAGAATTAAATGTTAGAATCTGACTTTAACTTGCAGAGAGATATCTGGGTGTGCATGACTTGCCTTATAGAATTTAAACCAATAGAAAGATGTTTCACAACATAAGGCGTTGTGAATTGGGGAGGGACTGCTCTGAGATTACATAGAAAAGGGATTAAAACAGAATCTTTTTTAATTCTTGCAGAATAAATAGAGCTAGACACAGAAGCAAAACCCAGAAGCAGCAAGCTGTCAGTTTTCATCAGCTTGTTACTGATCTGCCTTTGATGTTTCTGGTAAGTGGAATAGGAGAGGGAAAAGATAATAGTTTATTGGGGTTCAGCTGTGAAAAAATAATTATGAAAGAGCAGCCCTAAAAGTAAGTAACCAGAAGAAAATCCTTTTGATAAACTATTTTACAAATGATCTACAAAATAGTAACAAATGGTAGCAGCTGAAGTAGATATTGTCAGATGGGGAATACATTTGTCCACCCTCCCTGGAATCCTGGAATCATCAAAAAAATTCCTCTGTTTGAAGCTGAAGAAACAACTTTAAATCATAAATAGTTGTAAATATTGTATTTCTGCTATAACTAACACATTTTTCTGATAAAGTGGATGAAATTTGCCTCTTTTCAGAAGTATGTCTGATAAAACCAGGCTTAGCTGAAGCAGGAAGCTCTTTTAGGCGGTAATTGCCTTTGTGGACATCAGAAGAAATCTCCCCTCTCTCACCTCAGTGGTGGTGTGCTTTTGCTTCCTATAGGCACTGTTGTGCAGCAAGAGAACAGTCATTTCAGCTGGTGTGATTTAAAGCCAGCTGAGAAAAGGATCAGGGAGGCTGATGCCAGGCTCCCTGGCATCCCATCAGGGAGAATGGAACAGTTTAGCAAGAGAAAGTGAAGTGTCATTTATGGAGAAAATAGAGAAGGAAGAGAGGACAGGTTTATAAAAATTTTTATTATTGAAAAAAGTAAAATGTCCTAATAGTGGTGGGATATCACACTCAGTAGAAGAAAAGGGAGACTAAGCATGTTACAATGCCATGACCTTGGGGGGTTCCACGTGTAAAAGGCAATACCCACATCCTCCACGGCTAAGGACCACTGGGGACATTTTTGTCCCTAAAGATGATTATTGCTTTATAAAGAGGGATCCCCCTACATTTTTGTTCCCCAGCAGGCATGTTGGGGTGGTGATATGCTGCTTGACTTGAGAACAGCCATTGATGCATCTTCCTATTGTAACCTAACTTCAAATAATTACGAAAATGCTCATTTTCTCATGCAGCCATTTAGAGCTGGACCCCAGGTCCAAATGAAGTCTGTGGGACACTCTCCATCAACATCAGTGGCTTTTCCATGAAAGCTTCACCTTTGTAGCTCTACCTTTCTCTATTTGAATGATTTTCTTTATTCAGAGTACATTCAACTCATTTACCCTTTGTCTTTCTAGGATGCAACTAAGGTCAGCCAGTACTGAACTGATTATGATAATTTGTTACTGTGGCCAGTGATATGGCAGTATGTGGAGTAAGTGAGAGCAAAACTTCTTTGTTCTTGGAGAGGAGCCTTCTCGGTGCTGGAGTAGCCATGGTTCTGCTTACACTCAGTGTGACTGCTGGGAATGACATCAAGGAGTTTCCCTCCACGAAGTCAACAATAAGGAGTTCCTACATTTGAAGAATAAGGCTAAAGAAAAAGTGGATAAATCAAGCATAAATGGGATGTGGGTTTACCCCCAGTTTGAAATCCAGATTGGCATCTGGTTCTTCATCAGAGAGGAGATTCCTGGTGATGTATGGGTGGAATCTCCATTAAAAAACAAACAAACAAAACTATTGCTTTGCCATGCTGTCCTTGTGCCCACTGCCTCCGAGAGGACAGATTTTTTCACTTCAGCAGGTGTCCGAGGGAAGAGGGGCCATACTTTGTTTTTTCTCATGCTTTGAGCTTCATGATTGGGTTAGCCGCACTTTTGATTAAAAATATAATATTTATGTAGGTACAAAAGGTCTTGGCATTGATTAGACATGTGAAAAGAAAAATATTGGGTGGTTTTTTTCATACTTTTCAAGCCAATCTTGTCCTTTGAGCTGTCAGGAAGCCTAGTAATAATTATTATAATAATTAGCCAATGTAATAATTAAAAAGTATTTTAGTATGTTGTAATTGCCTAGTAATTTCACCTTAGTTAATGCTAAGAGCAAATTCCCTGCTGGTGTTAGTGATCCTGAATATAAGAAGGATTTATAAAAAGCCCCCTTCTTAATCTTGTGCAGACTGAAGTGTTTAATGTTTGATGAAGTTTGTTTTCTGAAGCCTGATATCTGTGCCTCTGGGAGTTCAAACACTGGTGTTGTCATTTAAAAATAGAGAATTAGAGAATTATATCAAAATGCAGTCAGTAAGTTTTTGCAACTCTTTTCTTCACCTTGTGCTGACATATTTAAATCCCTGTAGAGTAGCCAGGAAGACCCTTGTCTTTGCTGCTAAAGAAAGGATTAGGTTTTTTGACTTGTCTTGTAGTTTAATTTTTTAAAAGTTTTTAATTTAATGTGCATGAAGAGTCTGAAAGTGGAAACCCAAGGAAGATGAGGCTTGTTTGACCACAAACTAAGCAAAGAAAGTTGACCAGTGTCTGTGTGAATGCTGCTACATTAATGTTTCAACTTCCATCTAACAGGGAAAATGTGACAATGTCTTCAGGAGATCAAAATAACACACTTTTATGGGTAAACTTTGGAAAATAAGGGAACTTGGCAAAATTTAAAGCAAATATATTCAATCAACATAAAGCATTTCACAAAGCTTAGCAAATTCCAACCCATCCAGGTTAAAGTTACCCAAATATCAAGAACAGGGAATTAGGAGAATAAGGAGAAAGAAAGAGAGTGAGAAAGAGAGAATTATAGCTACCAGCATAGTGACTGACAGCTGCACTAGAAGCTCCCAAGGAGGCAAGGTGTGGGGGCAGAGCACCATTCCACCTTGGCAGAACCTGATCTGCTCCCTCTCCCCCACAGAGAGTTGTTTTGAGCCATTGAATTTCTTTCAGTCTCTCACAGGATTCAACACTTTTTTGGCAGCCCTCTAAGAAAAATATGATCAGCAAAGTCTCAGCCAGCAAACTGACCTGTGGTGAATCACTGTCCTCTTTAAGCACTGTTAAAATATCATTACAGATGCAATCCTTTCAGAAAGTTTTTTTTTTTTAAACTTGGGTCAGAATTTCCTTTTCTCCCTTCATTCTGTGTAATAATCCGAAGAAATCTGGCACAAAGACTAGTGGTGTCATGCTGATGACTGGTCTGCTTTTGTCCCAGGAGAGTGGAAAATGCACTCCTTCCTTTTGCCTACTCAGGTCTCTCCTTCAGTAATTAGCTGGAGCATTCCCCTCACCTTTTCTTTTGCTCTGCACTCTTGATGACTCTCCTGCGACCCTCCAACCCGAGGCTAGAGATTTCTGCACAGTGTTTTTCCTTATGGCTCAGGCCGATTGCTGCTCTTGGCTGAGAGGGCTCTTTAGTATGTGAATGCTTGGGGTTGCCTAGGAGGCATTGCATTTTGGATCAGAAGAAGTCCCAGAGGGTGCCTAATTAAACTTTAAGCTGTACGAAGCCAACTATTTCCCTTTAGATAGGAAAGAAAGTTTATGTCAGGAAGAGGTTTTTGGCTGCAACAAACAGATTGGTGTAAGCCATCACAATGGGAATAAGACAAAGAACTCTGATATATATACATATATATATATATAAAATAATCTGAGAGTAGGAGTCTGTTTTTCTGCTTACAATAATTTTTTTCATAGTTGCCACAGCTTCAACATATCCAGATTGATGCTATAGTGGCTCTGACTCAGGGGTTTTGTTTAGCAAATACTCTCAGGCTAAAAGTCTGACAGCCCTTTTTTGCAAATCTTATAATCTTTGAGGGTGCAGACCCATTTCTTCTCTGTTCTGAGCATTTATATTAAATCTGTTGTTACATTTATACCCTGTACAGATTTGTTTGTTTCTCAAAGTTGGCTCTTCTGGTCTTTAGGCGATTGTAATAATGTTTGAGTGGCAAGGTATGAAGATTGCGAAGAAGTATGTAAAACTTGTTGAATGTACTTTAGAAAGGCAAGAAAAATTATACTGTCTGCAAAAACACAAGGAAGAAACTAGATTTGGCTGGTATTATGGTGTATGTTGAGAGACAAGATACCTGTTGGCAGGGTATTTTGCCATGCCTTGGGGAAGAAAAGAGGAAAGCATTACAATTTAGATGAAAACCATAAGCCCTAGCCCAGTAAGGTTTAGTATTTGGACTTCCAAAGTGCCAGTTTTGAGTATGAATTTGCCATCAGAGGGGACAAAATATTCCTAAAACTGATTGTGGACTCTTTTTCTCCTTACATGGCTCAACTACATTGATTCTAAATGGTCAAAATAATTTTGAGACTAAAGGCATTTGGACACTGGATTATTATATTAATTATTGGCTTGGACCAACTCAAGTGTGTGCCTGTGTGCGTGGAAGGGACAGGTCAAATTTCATGAAGGTGAGGTGATGCCCTATTCCATACCCCTGCCTCTTGGTGTCTCCCTGGGCATCCCTGGAGCAGCTGTCAGCCAAAGGAGCACTGCCATGGGAGCACTGCCCATGCCACACTCCAGGGCCCCTGACCCAGCCCCAGACTGGCGGGCACACCTGGCAGCCTCACCTGGGGTGGGGGGTGTGGCCACAGGGAACCAACACAAATAAAAGCAGCACCATGTGCTCTCTTATGTTTGCTTGAACCCTGTCGTCTGGAACTTTTGTAGGACTCCAGTGGGTAGCTATAATTTTCTCATTTTTTCTCCCTTCCTTTACTTCTAATCTCCTTTCTTAATATTTTGGGTAACTCAAAGCTGGATGGGTTGGATTTTGCTGAGTTGTATGGGTTAGCATGTGCTGAGTCAATGCTTTGTGGAATGCTTTATTTGGGCTGAATGTTGACCTTTAAACTTTTACCAAGTTCCCTTATTTTCTAAAGTTTGCCAGGAAAAGCGTGTTATTTTTGACCTTCTGGGAAAATGTGTGTGGTGTCTTCTCCTTTGTGCTCTCTCTTAAACCATTAAAAGAATTGAAGGCTCTTTTAATAAATTGGATGGGCAAATTTCTGAAGCCTTGTATATTTTTAAAGTAAAACCCCTTCAATGAGCTTATAGCTTGGAGCCTTACAAAGCTTAATGTTGTTTAACAGGATAAACTTATCTTAAACTGCAAGAGTAATATCTTAATATCAGAAAAAATAATATTTTCCTTTATA